CTATATTAATATTAATAAAAATTAAATGCTTTTGATTAATCTAGATTGGCTTGTAAGGGTAAAACACAAAGACAAAACTGAGGCAGTGAGCCTCACAATGCCTCCACTGATTTCTCTACTGGCCCTTCCTCTGCACATGGTCAATTAGAATTGAAAATCCTGTGCTGATTTCATTCGCTGGAATTTTTAAGCAGGTCAGGAAGAAAGATGTTATTGAAAAGAAAAGTCTCATCTAAATAAGAAAGGAGCACGTGGCCATCTGGTCTTAGCTATACATATAAAAAGTTATTTCAGCTGAACTGCAGGCTTGATGTTTAGAAAGATATGCCAAATATCAAACCAGAATCTGTTTACAGTAAAATATCCCAAATGTTTCTCTTTAAACTTTCAAATATGCAATACACAGTTCATTTCCTATCTGTGATTCATGAGCCCATTTGACCCCAGCGCCTCACTGAGCTTGACTGAGTTTTACTCAGTAGAACATTCAATCATTTTTAGAACACTTTTCCTTCATAGAGTGTCAACAAGACACTGGATCTTGTAAAAATTGCGAAAATAACTTTGATAGTTTTCACTCAAATTGATTTTGAGTATTGTCTTCATGTAGGATTGCAAGAATAAAATTTGAGACATGAAGCAGCCAAACCAGTTTCCCTTCTTTTCGCATGGCAACTTGAGGTTCTTGTGCATTCTCTGCACAGTGCTCAGGCATCTACTCACAATAATTTCATGCCGTATGCCTAAAGGCTAAGTTAAAAGAAAAAATTCTCTTTTCATGTGGAGAAATGATACGTGTTGAGTCTTCTTTTAGAAATCATTTTCATGGTAGTAAGAAACAGAGATGGTTTTAAAACATTTTATGCTGTTCGTCAAATTAGAGTCATATCTTGTGATACTATTTTTTGACATGAGGTATTTACAGTAGTTATAACATCAAAACAATACATTAATTAGTTCAGTATCTGATAATGCCTTTCTGTTAGTACAGACATAGCTAGTTGAGGTCGCAATCTAAATTTTCTCATACTAAAATATATTAATAGTCTTCAAAAACTCTTATAATAAAGTGACAACGATTATTTTGGGTCAGAAGACTATACTCGAATACATCATGTATACACTAAACATACTACATGCATGTAAGAGACATACATGATCATACTATCGACACATGCTAAACAAGGATGTGGATTTAAGCTAAATCTTCAGATAAATAATTGGATTAAGAATATTCTAATATATGAAACAAAAGAGTCTTGACATATCCTTGAAATAAAATATCCATTTGCTGTTTTATATATCTACTATGTTTGTTCTGTCATTTCAAATAAATCGTTGCCATTGTGTAAGAAGAATAAACTGTACTATAGTAAATTGTTCTTTCTCCGTTATGCTCTGAAAAACCATTTGTTCTTGAATTGGCGTTACGTAGTTCAACTATTTCAATCAAGTCCATTATCTTCTTGTCTTTGAAAGATGCCTTTTTAGTAACCTGTATCCCCAATGGGCAATGACATGTATTGTTTTTTGAAAGTAGGTAAAATTTAAATACAAATATGTGTTTGTTTAATCTTTGGTAAAGAAATGATATAATTAATAATCAATCTTCTGCTATATGTTGGAAAAACTGTTTATGTAAAGTCAGGCCAAGAATTTCTTAAAGAAGTTATTTATTAGTTCATAATGGAGACTTACTCCATAGAATGTCATCTAACTTATGTCGCTTGCTTTCTCTAAGTACAAAATGTGTCAGTTATATGTACTTTTCTTAACAAAAGCTATATACTTTCCTTAACAATGGTAACATGTAAGCAAAAAAAGAACAAAATATTTTTCATGTCTTTTAAAACACTACATTGGCAAAATGAACCTTATGAATTTGCTGACATATACAGAGTGCTGTTTATACACATATGCTTTGAAAACCCTTTCAGATTAATCGCTCCTTAGTATGCAAGAATGAAGAAGTATTAACTGCAAATTCCAAAATTTCAGAAATTATATATCAGATACTTGGTATATATAAACTTGTAAGTATAGCATCATTGTATTCTAATGAAGATTAATTTAAATTACATATCAAAACTTGGTAGTTAAGGGGAAGTATTATACAGAATTGTTCTATATATACATCTCTAATCTAGCAATATGTTTTGGTAAAAGTATTAAACTTTCTTTACTTGAAATAAAATAATGTACTTAAATGTGTACATTAATAAAAATCGGAGGACATGTTTGGTGAGTAACTATCCAGTGTAAGACCCATAAAACAGACTTGAAAATAAATCCAAACACTGTACTAGCTCACACAAAAGTTAATTCAACTTTTATCTAATCCAGAGATATACCCTTATAAAAGCACATAAGAGAGAATTACTCCTAAATCTAAATCAATGCTGTAAAATCATTCTTTTCTTAAGAAATAAATTAAAAGTAAAAAGCATTTAATTGTTACCAAATATTAAGTGGCAAAAAAAAAACCACCTAATCATCATAAATAGCAGTAGTGTAGCATTTTTATCCAACTTGATTTCAAAATGCTCACCATTTCTACATCCTATTCTTATCATTGAAATTCAGCCACCTTTCAAATGTTCAGCCAGCATATTAACAAGGCTTCCTAGAACCAGGAAACTGACTGACTACATATTTCTTGATAAACATACCCATCCTGCCCCATAAACACATCTTCGAAAGAAAGATAGCTGCAAATAAAATAGTCCTTTCCTGCGGGTGTTGGTTAACCCCACGAGCACGTGAACTTCCTATGGGCACACACCCAACAGACATTAGCGATTAGGTGATTAAAAATGTTGCCCGCAAAGGCGAAATTTTATACACGATGACATCACCAGCTAACCTGGATTTCTCTGTGATATGATATAATTGCCTGGTTGAGTGTGTGCATCTTGAGCTACAGAGAGAAAAAGAGAGAGCGTGTGTGTGTATGTGTGTGTGTGTGGGGGGGGGGGAGAGAGAGAGGGAGAGAGAGAGAGAGGGAGAGAGAGAGAGAGAGAGAGAGATGCTTAAAGAACAGCATTATCAGAAATGGTATATAACCTTCTGCAAGGTCTGCAAGAATCTTTTGACAGACCTTTGACTTTTTCCAGATTTCATGCAGCCTAAGTTCATTCAAAAATGCATTCCCCACACAAACAAATTACGTTATGTTTAGTTGGCACACTGTTAGTCCTAAAACATTCTGATAGGATCTGTTGAGATGAGATCTCTATACCAAATGAGGCATGTGCATCTGTATGATCTGCTGCAGGAGTGTTGCAAAGTCCCTTGAGACCTGCCTTTGAATGGGGAAGACGTCTTGGTTTCAAAGGTAATGAAAGGGTTAAAAATTGAGGCTGTCTAGGGTAAGAGAAAGGGGATATTGTTGTCTTTAATCTTTCCGCAGTATGTGTAAGACTTCCATCCCGGATCTGCACATAGCAGAGGAATAGGCTCGGCATGCATTGCGTGCAAGCTCCTTGATTGTAGAAGGGGAAAAAAATCTGGCTGGAGTCCAGACAGGCTGGAGCTCTGTTGATCATTATGTCTAGCCTTCAGGTGTCTCAGCACACAGTGGGCGGCGGTGGGGGAGGTGTAGATAACATGAGAGCAGACAAAGAAAAAAACGGTGTATTTTTATAAGATTATGTGAAAATTTGTACGTATTTTCAAGTCCTCCTTAAGAAAATGAATCCGAACGTCTTGGACTTTTATAATTAGAACACAGGCTCTGCTCTGGCAGCTCTCTTTAAGCCATAATTAGTTATGTCTGGAGCCTTTGAATAATTCCTTTCAATAATTGATGGAGTTAATATTCTCTTTTAAAAATGAGGAGGATGATGTTTTTCACAAACTCTTTTTGTTGGAGGCTTTGTCATTCAAAATCTTCATCAGTCAGAATCTCATTGATGTGATTTGCCTTTTAATTTCTTATAAGACTTAGCTTATAACTTTTTAAGGATTTGGACGATTCTAGAAGTAAAGGCATAATGCATTGCTAGATTACTCTAGCTGAATATAAAAAGAAAGCAGTAATACAGGAACATTCTCTTCATTTGTTTCCAATTATTTTATAAATTAAAAACTGCATTGTATGTTGCTTCTGTTTGAAACTCCATCGAAAAACCTTACTATGAATGTAAGGAACTTAGATGCTAATCCTATCTTTTGCTGGCTAGTCAGAAGAAATGCCAAATTATTTTATTCTTCAAGCATTCTTCTATAAAGAAGCTTCTGCATGCTTCCTCCCCACCCCCACATCCTCACTCCACCCTATTAGGAATTTCAAAAAAAAAAATCTTTATACATGGAAGGCTAGATCCTAAGACAGAAAGCTGTCTTTTCCTTTTCTCTTTACACTGGCCACTTTCAGGCGCCTTCACTTCTGCTGGGACTTCATTTCACATTTTGTGGACTACAACACGGAAACCAGTTCGGTCTCTATTCTGATTATAAAATAAAAGTGGTGGTTAAAAAAATGTATAAAGAAAGCCCTGGCTTGAAGCCATTGTTCAGATTTTAAGAGCTATTTGCCCCCAAGTGTCTTTGCAGTCTTTCATAGCTAATTATAATAACTGTCAGATGTCTGGAAAGTCCACGGTGCCCTTGTCAGTGGAGTCAGCAAAGTTTGTCTTTTATTTTTGGGGGGACAGAGAAAATCTGATTAGACATAAAGAGCAAAAAGAAGTGAACTAAGTACATATGTGCGTGCCTTCATTTTTTTCTTATGAACAAAGCAGCACACTAGAGCAGTGTTCCCGTGTTCCGGCGTCCAGCCTCCTACAGCTACTCTTTGGAATGCCTGACTTTTATTTTTAATTCTTTATCCTTAACAGAATAAGGTGTGCAACAATTGTCCCTGGAATATTTTCCTACCAGCTGAATACCCTTCAATATACACATAAAAGAGCACCCCAAAGAAATCTTTAAATATTAGATGTTTCTGACATAAAACTATTTTTAATCAGTACACTTGACGGCAAGAAATGTATACTTACAATTTCAAAATGGTCATTTGCTCTAGTTCCTTGTCCGCAGAGGCAGAGCAGAGGCTTTTGCCAGACTGTCCATGATGCAGGTGCAGAATCCCTGTTTTCATGCCGGAGGAAGGTAGAAAGTGCTTTATAAAGTCACTCAGAACTCAGCCACTTGTGCTCAGACATCCCTTGCTCCTGTGGAAGCTGTACTATCTGCAGTTCTGAATTGAACTAAATTACAGCCCATGTGAAAGACAGGGGCAGTGAGTCATGTGAGAGATACACAGCTATCCTATTGGCCACAAAGACATGGCTTAGGCATTCTGTCTTTTCCACCATTGGTGAATAGTTAAAACTGAAAGCATCTAGATCCTCCTCTTGAGCTTATTTGTCCTTTATGTGTGGAAGAATGACTGTAGGATTTTACAGTGACAGAATTAGTTAAGAAAGGGACTGAAGTCATCCTTCACAGAGACTGGTAGGAGATGACTGGAAGCTCAGCTTTTTTAAGATTTCTTTTTTCTTTTTACCCCCTGCCCTGCAGTTTTGTCTATGATTTGCTTGTCTGCCTGTCAGAAACATGTTTTTTGTGGGTTTTTTTTCTCCCTTCAGTTAACTTTGGAAGTGACAGAAAGTAAATTATCATCATATTCCTTTGTGGAACTGTCATGTTTTGAAGCACAAAATCAATTATTTTCAATGATGCATTTTCAAATTTTATTTTTATGTTTACAGAGACTTTATTGCAGTTCAAAACTAACAAACTAAATTGTTCATTAGTAACACCAAAAACAGAATTAACTTTTGAGTAGTTATTACATTTTGGAGAAAGGAGGGGTAGAAATAACTCTGGAAAATAATAAGGGGTTTTAACTAAGCAGGGATAAAGAAGAAATATATTTCTCCATCAAAGCCACCCTTTAATTTACCACTGTAGGTAAGGTAGAATGTCCAGAAAACCGCCAGTCAGATGGTATTTTTCAGTTATGCTTGGATTCTATAATTCACCTGATTCCTTAAAAATTTTTAAGTTGGGAGTGTAAATTAGTTCAACCATTGTGGAAGACAGTGTGGCGATTCCTCAAGGCCTTAGAAATAGAAATTCCATTTGACACAGCAATCCCATTACTGGGTATATATCCAAAAGACTATAAATCGTTCTACTATAAGGACACATGTACACGAATGTTCATTGCAGCACTGTTTACAATAGCAAAGACCTGGAATCAACCCAAATGCCCATTGATAATAGACTGGATTGGAAAAATGTGGCACATATACACCATGGAATATTATGCAGCAATCAGAAATGATGAATTTGTGTCATTTGTAGGGACATGGATGAATCTGGAGAACGTCATCCTCAGCATGGATGAATCTGGAGAACGTCATCCTCAGCAAACTGACACAAGAACAGAAAATGAAACACCGCATATTCTCACTCATAGGTGGGTGATGAAAAATGAGAACACATGGACACAGAAAGGGGAGTACTAAACACAGGGGTCTATTGGGGGGAAAAGGGGAGGGCCAGTGGGAGGGGGAGGTGGGGAGGGATCGCCTGGGGAGAAATGCCAAATGTGGGTGAAGGGTAGAAGGAAAGAAAAGCACACTGCCATGTGTGTTCCTACGCAACTGTCTTACATGCTCTGCTCATGTACCCCAAAACCTAAAATCCAATAAAAAATTAAAAAAATAATTTTTTTTAAGTGTGTTTGTAAAGATTTGGAAGTTGTAAATTACCTTAGAAATCATCGACTCACATTCCCTATGTTAAAGGTGAAGAAGATAGCCTCAGATAGGACACTCTCTTTATAACACCGATCCACAGAGTTATGCAACGTAAATGAAGGACACGTTGAAATAAATACTAGTTACTCTGTCTTATGTACTTACTAAAAGCCAGTTGCCTTCTCATTTCATTCAATAATTGTACAACCCATAGAATAAGTTTGACTACTATTGTTTCTCCTTGGTAGAAACAGACCCAAATGTCTTACTGCCACAGTAGTGCTTGGATTTGAACCCATGTGGCTGATTTCAAGCCTATTTTTTCCAACTTGGTATGTGTCCTTCCAAAGTAATGATGGGTATTGTGTAGGTTCCTTCCTACTGTAGGGCAAGTCATGTGCAAAACCCTTTAGAGCACCTCATTCAATCCTCACAGCTATTAATGAGTCAGTTATTCTGTTATGCCCATTTCATAGATGAGGAAATTAGGTGCATACTACTCAGTATTATATAGGTGGTAGTTGGTAGCATGTGATTCAAACCAACTCTTATCTGTTTTAGACACCATATGGAATCTCATCACAGTGTTGAATAAGGCTTTTTTGGGTCTAATATGTTGGAATATTTTGGTGTAAATATGGAAAATTCACTGTGATCAAGTCAACGTCTGGGTCTATTTGGTTCAGACCCAGATCAGACCATTAAGTGACCCATGTGGTGCTGGAAATAGGCGTTAGAGGAGCAGTCATGGAACCATATTTATCTTGGGGCTCTACAAGCAGCCTCACACAGGGTTTTGCAATTACAGGAGCTTCCACGTCAGTTGAAGGGGCACACTCTCTCAGAACCTCAGCCTGGGTCTTAAGGAGTCCTACTGCTGGTTCAAAATCTGAAACCCATTGTGTAGTAGAGTAAGTGCTGGACCCTTTCAAAAATAGTGTCAAAAATTCCATTTCAGCTGGATATCAAGAGCCACCAAGGAGTTTCCCGAATTGTACCCCTCTTGCAGCAGCCATAATCATACAAATGGGAAATTTGCATTGGCTCCTGCAACCCTTGTGAGGTTTCTTTGTAGATGGGAGGGGATTACTGAAGTGCCACTGCATGCATCTTCATCTGTACTTTCTAAACCACACTTTCTTCTGCACTTTCTAAAGCTTTGGCTCAGAGCATGATATAGGACAGGTTAGGCAGGTCCCAGACAGCATCAGAAGAGAGTTTTTAGTCCTCTTCTGTTTTGAATACTTTTTTCTTTCCATAAGTGGTGCTTAAGTTCCTAAACAATTCGATCACCTATCTCATGCTCTCCCGAACCCTTACAGGTCAACCCTCTCATGTAGTGCCCATGTGATAACGTTATGTTATCCTTATCATCATCAAATAAGCTACTCTATTATACTGCAAATATTTCAAAGGCTGAGCTGTATCTTGTTATATTTTAATCCTGCATAATGCCAATCACAGTAGAGAGGAGGTAATTTCTTTTTTGGCCTTCAGTGACCTATTCACTAGTGTACAACAGATCAGAAATAAAACTGGTGAGATAATGTAAACATATTTTTTAAAAACTTAGCACTTTAAAATAAAGTCTAAATAGACCAGGCACAGTGGCTCATGCCTGTAATCCCAGCACTTTGGGAGGCTGAGGCAGGTGGATCATGAGGTCAAGAGATCAAGATCATCCTGGCTAACATGGTGAAACCCCATCTCTACAAAAAAATACAAAAATTAGCACACCTGTACTCTCAGCTACTCAGGAGGCTGAGATAAAATAATCACCTGAACCCAGGAGGCGGAGGTTGCAGTGAGCCAGACTCATGCCATTGCACTCCAGCCTCTGAACAGAATGAGACTTTGTCTCAAAAATAAACAAATAACTAAATATAAAATAAAGTCTAAACAATTGATTCAGACAATGGAGAACAAATAGAAAAATTATTATGAGACCACAGACTCTCCCAAATATTGGTCTAAATCCATCAGATACAACATTTATACTAACTAAACTGATGGTCATGGTTTTAGCACACGTGTATCTCAGTCCTCTCTGCTGTCATTTACCAGCTTCTTCATTCCTCTCATTTCCTGTTTTTCAGGTCTCCTTTTTGCCTCTAGCTCTGCTCTAGTTCAGTGTTCACAAGGGCAATCTATTCAACACTCTAACGTCTCAGTTCAATGGCCTCCTCAATTTCAATGAGGTTCACCACCACTCCCCATGACATCACCCATGCTCATGCGTTAAGATTGAAAAATTTTATTTTAAAATTTTAAAATCAAACTACCTACTTTCTAACCGCCATCTTCAATGTTTCCAACTCTTTATCACCACACTTTGTTTGTTACCCTCTCTGATACCTCCAATCCTTTGGTTTCTGCATTTTCTTCTCATCTATTATCCCTTTCACTTATTTTCTTCCCTTTCCTTTCATACTTTATTCTCTCTTAGAATTTATGATTCATGATTTCATACAGTGTCTGGACAATATCCTAAAGGTTCTTGCCCTGCTTTTCTTCTGATGGCCCCTCCTCCCATGAATTTTACCAGTCAAAACCAGATTTTGAATAAATCCAACTGTTAAACTATTCTGGGCTTTCTGAGAGCTGTTGGGGAGAAGTCTCCTAAGCCTAGAAAGGGTGTTACTATAAGCCAAAAGTCTCCAGGTTTGACCAGTTACTCAGAGCTGTACTGAAAAATCTGTTTCCACAATCAACTCTGATCCAGTCTTTGCTCTGCCACCTCTACCCACCATTCTCACCAGATTGCATTGCCTTCTCCTTCTCAGGAGAACCAATGAACTTGCCAATATGCAAATTCATCTTTTTCTTATTTATTCTCATCACAATGGAAAAGTTGTTTTTCAACCTGTTCAAGGAAGATCATTCACTGTGTACATGGATATCAATCTCTTCTACCTACTTGGAAATTTTTTCTTAGATGTATTTCCCTTTCTCAAATTGTCGACAGGTTCCTGCCTACTAAATTCATTGATATTAGCATTTTTTAAATGCTGGGTTTTTTCTTTTTAAATATTAATAAAAATCTCCTCCATAGATACCAGGTTCTTCTTCCTGTCTTTTACCCTTTCTGGATAAATCTCTTCAAAGATTTAGTGATATTCGCTATTTCTACTTTTTTCCTTTTGTTTCTCTACCCAATCAATCTGGCTTCTGTCCTCATCATACTGATTTTTGCCAAATACCTCTGTTCTACTAAATCCCGTGAACAATTTTCAGTCTTTGGCTTCTCTAAAATGCTTGTGCAGTTGACCACTCTCTATTTCCCCAGGTGTTCTCCTTCTTCAGCCTCCTGTGTTCTGGCTTTTATCCCCTCTTCCCTATGCTATCTGTGTTTCCACCTCCTGTCTCTTGAATATTTGTAGTTTTCAGAATCTCCCATAGGCCATAGTCTTTTCTCACTCCACGAGACTCTCGTTCAGTCATCTCATTCACCTACATAGTTTCATTTGCAACTGTACTAATGATTTCCACATTTCTATCTGCAGCCCAGACCTTTCTCTTGA